CAAGCACTTCTACCAACTGCTAGTGAAACAGAAAGTACCATTTTGTCACTTCTATGAAGAATAACTGATTTCCCTCCTTGACTCATCAGAAACTCAGTGCCTTGAAGGCTATGACTGATTTGAAAACTGTAACTGACCACAAGTGATAACAAAATACCCCAAGATGATATGACATTTTTAACGGCTCTGCGGCAGTTCAGAGACTCTGAAATTGCATTTTAGCACTCAGACACAGCTACTTGTGACCCAGGCCCAGAAGACACCAAAAAAAAACCCAAGCCCAAAACACTTCCTTACTCAGACCTGCTTCTTTTTTGTATCCAGAGTCTTATGTGGCTACATAGAAATAAAAATATTAGCTGTGCAGAGCCACTACAGGAAGGCAGGGCTGCTTCCACCCTCTGCTAAGCCTCAGGAACAGCACTGCTGCATCTTCATCAGCTGAATTATCAGGAAGCCACTTCTTCCCTTTGGATTCACACAGTCCCAAACGAGTGCACCTCTCTCAAGTTCCCTGTGCCCTCAGATTCCACTAATGATACAACCATTTCACACACACAGCAGCTGGAAATCTGTCACGGTTTATCATCAGCCAGCAAGATCATACTCCAAAAACCATCAACCCCTGGAACTCACCAAAGACACTGACCCCTCATTCCCTAGGCCACTTGAAAATGCCAACCCCAGGAGAGGGCTAATCCACATCATTAAGGCAAAGGTCAGGTGCCTCTCCACATGAGAAAAGAAGCAGATTGCACAGATGCTGCTGATGACCTCATTTTGCCCATGAAAACCTTTTGGGAGAAGGATGAGGGCTCTCAAAGCACAGCTGAATGGACTTAGGAGCAATTCCTCTTTATCTTGATAACTACAAATCCAAAGCAGCTATAAACTCAGAGTCCCACAGTCTCTTCCAGAGCTCAAGAACAATTGTCTGACCCAAACACTTCAAAAATAGCACCCACTTCAGGTGCCCCATCTCTCTTCCCCCACTCACCCATTAGAAAAATGACCCTGCACTGAAAATTAGAAGATAGAAAATAAATTAACAGGCCTCTACTGAACACACACTACTCAAAGAATATGAAACAAACAGCTGGAGTCTTTGCAAAAAGAAAAATTTCAACTCCCAAACTTGCAGTTTAGTTATTACTACATGCACAAGCACAGACCACAGTACAACTGTTCTCATCAAGGGTGATACACGATCACTATCCAGCCCTACACCGCAATGAGTCCAACTGTGGAAGGAAAACAAGGCATCCATATAATTAAACTTCTGGAGATAATGGGAATAGGCAAAAATTATTCAAATCACGACACTGTCAGGTCTCAACAGCCATACTGTAAGATACAGCCTCAAGCACACCAAGAGCAGTCTGCATAGCCACAGTGGTTAGCTTCACAGCGCTTTCAAAGGTACCACCTTTAACAGTACCACGTGACATTAAGGTAGCAACTACCAGCAAATAAAAAAACACAGTATTTATGTCTGCTAGATCGTTTTCTGCAGTTTTACTACAATGCCAAATAACACTAGATTCAAGCTGCCCCAGGCAGCCTGTGAGGGGGTTCCAAGGCACTGCAGCTGCAGCCCAGGGAGGATGCAAAACCTAAGAACTTGCGGGTGACACCTTCAGCAATCCTGCTTCCTCCCAAATGTCACAGACAGTTACGTGATGCAAAACATCGCTCTGCCCTGTCTGAAGGTCCTTACTGATCAGCAAGTCTGAAGAAAAAAAACAACCACAAAACAAAACACCAAAACAAACCCAACAAAATCCCAAAATGCTGGCCCTCTTACTTTGGAGGGCAACCCCACATCACCCGCCCAGTCTCCATTGTTCCCAGGAAGATGGACAGCCCCTGCAAAAAGCAGGGCATGTGAAGTTCAGAAACTTCTCCTTCCCATCCCATACACATTCAATTGAGATGGTGCCTCTGCACTGGACCCAATCTGACCTTCAGCACTTCAAATTTAAGGAAACAAAGGCATGAAAGGGTAAACAGCCAGTACTTCTCCAACCACCACCCAACACACTACAGCCAACAGCCTTCAGAGAAGACTCTGCTACTGCCTTCCATGACACTATTCAGAATTGCCTCTTACCTGGTATTGTTCTTCAGATTTCAGCTCCTGGAAGCAAGCAATTAAGTGAGAAACTCATCTGTCATTTCAAGAGATAATGAAGTCCAAGTTTCATGACTCCTGGGTACTATCTGATTTTTTAATATCTAATTTACACTTTGCAAAAGGCTCAAGTTGCCAGTAGTGGCATATTTACATCCTACCAGTTCATAAGTTGTCAAAAAATCTGCTAGCTTTTAGTCAGTTATTGTATGCAAATACCAACTTTATAACATTTCTATACAGATCTAGCATTATCATGGGTACAATTTATACCCCTTCAATTTCATTTAAAAAGACACTGAACTGGCACTGGTCTGGAATAATTCAGGATGAACAATACTCTCCTTCAATAAATCTGCTAAACATTGTTTTCCAAATCTAATGATGAATCCTCTAAATTTTATTTTCATTTTTATGGAGCTGCATATATTAAAACATATAGCCTTATGAATCATCTCCGCAGCCAACCAAGCAATTTAGTAATCTTGGACATAGTTTATTTAGCCTGAAATAAGCTTTGCTTTGATTATGTGCAAACTATGATATGTATCTATTTCTGAACGTATGGAAGATTCTGACACCTCTGGAGAATAAAAATATGCTCTGATGACAAAAGTACGTTATGTGGATAACTGAGATTACTTTATAACTTAAATATTTATGATCACAAGCCTATCCTAGAAAAACTACGAAATGATTCCAGCATTCCCTAATTCACTCCATCACTCCTAGTGCTGTGCAGACTGAAAGACGTATTACACAGCAGTGAAAAAGAAAAGCGAATACCACAGCCACACTTTTTATGGTCATTTCAGAAGCAGTTGTTCCATTGCTCAGCACCTTCTGCAGAGGTATTTACACACACGCCGGAGCTTTGGACGGCATGAAAACCGCTCACAACGAAAATGCCTGCAGCATGGAGCATGCACTTTGTATCTGTCCACCTCAGCTGTCATCGTGTCTTCTTCAGCTGCATGGCTCCCCATCACCCTCCCACAGAGCAGCTCCAATCCCCTAAGGCTCAGCAGAACACCCTATATTCAGTGGTCACATGCATTTGTACAAACAAAGCCTTTGTTAGGGGTGTGCTTGCACAGAGCCAGGGTTACATGCAGTCCATCGTCTGTCCATCGTGTGATGCGTGTGCACAAGGCTTCCCCTCACTGCCCTCAGTCTTGCAAGACCTCATCTCTCATTGCCTTGCTTAGACGTTGCATCTGGTTCAAGTGCAGAATGAGCCGAGATCCGAATCACCCAGTATCCAGAGCTGTCAGATCCTGGACTCTTGCATGCTTAGTGGGAAAGAGCCTTTGGAAACAACTTTTAATTGTCATTGTCAGTATTTCTTACTCACTTTGGCAACGAATATTGCAGTGAACTGCACAATAGCTCAAAACATGTTCTTTTGCAGCAGAGAAGCAAACTATGGTGCTCCTTCCTGTTTCTGACATGATTAAGCAGCTGATTCACTCTCAACATCCTTAAAAGATGACTAGATTGAAATTTTTTCTCTCCCACTGTAAAATAAATCCAGGCATGAAAGGAAAAGCAACTATTTCAGAGGCCATTTGGGAGCATTAGGATCTTTTCAGAGATAGAAAACTCTGTGATTACACTGACAACAGCATTCTTGAATGTCTCCTGGCTTCTAATCTGTCCATGTGAAACCCTGAGCCTCTATCTTTAATTTAGTAGTACTGACCTCAGTATCTGAATGTCAATCTCAGAAAAAACAACACAGACTTAATCACAGCAACAAAGACTTATATGAGAAAGATCCTGCTTCTAACATAAAAATAAATTATAAAAATATAGTATGGGAAAGCAGAAACTCCCCAGAACTGCTTCTGTAGAGGATTTTCCATAATCTTTGAAAGATTAGGTTCAAAAGGAAAACAAAATGCAGATCTGCCAACACAGGATGGACACAGAAAATAACACGCATTCAATGCACTGGAATCAGAGAAAGATGCAGTGTCTTCCTGCACTTCTACATCGGGGCCCAATTCTGCATTCTTCCCACAACAGGGCATCAACACAGAGAGCCTGCACCGACAAAAAGATGCGTCACGCCGGAGCTTGTCGGCAGCGGGATCTGAGGAGAAGCAAGACCAGACAGCTTCCTCCAGTGCCGTTACTCCTCCTACGTACCTGCAAGGGTGCAGCAGCATGGCCTCTGCCTTCCTTCTCCAAATGGGAACCACACAGGCTCGGTTCCTTATTTTATCAGGTCTATTTTCTCTTCTCAGACCACTCTTAGGAAAGGCTTCACAGTGAAACAACACTTTTCTAGGCTAGCCCTTATAACTAAAGATGCACATTGCATAGCGTACACAGCACGTTACAGCAGACATCTAATGGCTGCAGCTTCTTGACTGTTGTAGTTGTGCTTTGATATCACAGAGACAAAGGTAGTAATGGTAGCATAAACCTTCACAGCCTGCCTGCAGAGCAGGGTTAATTGACCCCTCTGTCTTCAAGAGTACTGCTGTTTGAGTCTTGGCTGAGCTCTCCACTCAATCCAGGCCGAATTCAGCCATCACAGATGTTAATTTGTGCCAGTCGCCTATTAAATGATTTTGGAGAAGAGAAAATAATCACGGGACAGAAAAAAACAGGGCAGAGGGAAGTCAGTACGAAAGCCAACACACTTATCTGACCCACGGCAGCAGAGACATGAAAACAGGGCAGAAGGAAGGGGCACGGAGTTTCACTGGTGACACCATTTTGCATTACACAGAAAAGAGAGCCAGATAAACCAAGCTATTACTGGAACAATACTGTCCACCCTCCTAAATGGTGCTCATTTCTGCTTCAGGAAAAACAGCTTTATCCAGAACAGCATCATACATTAAAGAGGCATCCAAACCTTATAGACTTGTCCATATGTCCCATTTCCAACAACCTGCACCAGTTCAAATATTCCCGCAGGGTCCTGCAAAAAGCAGAAGAAAATGTTATTTGTGACAAAGCCACCACTTTGTGATGGAGCATAACTGCACACAATCAAAGTGAAAACGTCTGTGGCACATCTCCTAATGATCTGTACTACACACTAAAGGGGAAACCGCCAAATACCAGTCTAAGAAATTCATTAGTATTAAACTTTTCAGTCAAGTTGCTCAAAACTCTATACAAAAAACAACTCGGTGAAGATCTGTAGCATGGCAATAGGGCAGATAAAACAAATAAATGGGATGTGTGAAGGATAGAAAAATTCAACAGATTCAGCTGAGCAGCAGAATAAGGAATAAACTCCAGGCTTCCTAAACATTAAAACACTGAGCTAGCCCAGAAGGTGAGCTGCTGTCTTCTGCTATAAAACATTTCACACTAGCAATGTAATAAAGGAAAGAACTTAAATGATAGAATTGAAAAAATACTACATAAGCACCTGAGCCCAATTACCTTACAAAAGGGAAACGTGTCATCCCTGGCAATCTTAACAGTACAGGAAGGCTGAGAATGTTGTTATCCTGTTCTGCAAACACAGCAAGGTGAGTTTGACTGATGTGTTGAGTCTTGGCTTTGAACCCAAACTAGACTGCTGTTAATTGACACGAAAAATTCACGTGTCAGGTGATCCATGTACCATACCACACAAGACAACGTTACTCCTACAGGCTTAGCATCAGTTCCTCTAAAAACCAACTACTGCAGCAGGTATCCTCCCGTGATGAGATGCTACAGCCCTTCAGATGTGGAAAGACCATCTTGTTGCAAGGCATGGGCAAGTAAATGTTCACTCCTGCATGACTGAGCACATTAAGGAATCTGTTGCTTCAGTAAAAACTCACTTGAGAGATTTATATAAAAACATTAAGAACTCAAGAGACCAGTTTCTTGGTTTCTGGCTGAGCCATTCATCAGTCAGCTCATTTCTTGGGATGAAATCATTGAGAGATTTATATAAAATATTATTAACTCCATGTGTCGGTTTTACCACATCTGTTTCAGCAATCTGTCATGTCAGTTGATGCCTACTGCTGAGGGATGTGATACAGAAAAACATTATCTCAAAAGTACAATTTCTACAACCCTGGTTGCAAAACATCCTTTTCTTAAGGTATCAAGCTACTTCACTTATACGTTATTCTTTTAATATAAATAACGTTTTTTTCATATCTGATACGGAAACGCTTACTTAGGCAAAATCCCAGTGGAAACATACAGGCTTTTATCTGAGCAGATCCTGCCTTTACTGGCACAACTGTCATGATAAACGGCAATAGCTTTCACTGCCACAGCAACACAGCACAGACTTCCACAACTGAAAGTATTAACAATTTGGCTTTGCCTTTCAGTTAAATGAGTGTTATACTTCCTGGATTATCAATTTCATATGACTTTTTTAAAAAACAAACAAACAAACAAAAACCAAACACTACTTAACAATGCATAAACCAGATCAAATCACTTACTTTTCATACTGGCACAGGCCAGCCTGTGTCATTATTTTTGTGTCTTATTTTAGAGACAAGGTAGTAAGACGTGGCCTTCTAGACTTAACCCCAGTTCCAAAAGCCCTCACACCAAAGGAAACCATTGGGAGCACCTGTGTGTGGAGCAAAGCACAGGCATAAGAATGCCTGCAATACTGAGATCTTTGTAAAGTGCCTTCTTTCCTTCGCGTTTCTTCATTTTTCACGTCCACTAGTCTGGACATAAACGAGCCATATGCTTTGCTCCATCACGGCTGAAGTCAGCAATAACCCCTTGCTGCTGCTGAAGCAACAGTTGGTTGCTACAAACCCCTGCCTCACAGAATGGTTTGGATTGGTAGGGACCTTACAGATCATCCAGTTCCACCCCCCCTGCCATGGGCAGGGACACCCTCCACTAGACCAGGTTGCTCAAAGCCTCATCCAGCCTGGCCTTGAAGACATCCAGGGATGGGGCATCCACAGCTTCTCTGGGCAACCTGTGCCAGTGCCTTACCACCCTCTCTATGAAGAATTTCCTCCTCATAACCAACCTAAATCTGGCCTCTTTCAATTTAAACCCGTTACCCCTTGTCCTGTCACTACAGGCCCTTGTAGAAAGTCCCCCCCAGC